TGCTTCTGTAAACTGCTTTTTTTGCAAACCAGGTTCCTCATTCCAAACCTTGAGATGTAATCAATACCTTTGTGATTTTTTGCCTATATAACCCTGGAGCTGCGACCATCTTGTTGCTATGAGATTTGGGGAATGGCCCCTCATAGTCCCGGATTGCAATAAATGTGACTCTTCAATTCGACTTCTTGAGGCATCCTTCTGTGATTCGCGGGGTACATCACAACAATTATTGTGCTCTAATCATGTACCAGTAACTGGACTAGGTACTGGGTATACAATAGTGAGCAAATGGTCAATTCTTAGTCCTCATCCTACTCTACCATACCACAGTCGGGGGGCCACTGTTTTCCTCAACAGCTGCTTCTTCCCAAAGTCCTTTGCTGGCCCCTCCGCATGCTGGCCTCTAAATGATGCAATGCCCTTGGGCTCAGGCCCCAGCTCTCTTTACTTCTCTACACCGTCTTCTTACATGGTTTTATACACTCCCTTGTTAATATCAACTATAAATTGATGACTTCCAAATGTCTCTGGCCAACCTCAATTTCTGCTCAGGGGTGTGTGTGTATCCACATGTCTGCTGGGGTCCAGCCCCGGGGGTCCAGGAGTTCCCAAAGGTGTGGACGGAGTCAGCGAAAAATGTTTTACACGACAGCATTCAGAACTCTCTAGCTCTCTTTAGTCTCTGTGGATCTTCCTGTGCCTGGCTGAGGCCACAGAGAAAGATCCCTAGGCAAACTGAGACTTTATTTTATAGTCAGAGGTAAACAAGGTAGTGGTTTCCATAGTTACACTGTTCTTGTGAGTTTCACTTGTTTTGACCATAGTTACACTGTTCTTGTGAGTTTCACTTGTTTTTGTTCTTATTCTTGCTGCACTTTCCTCAGCCCATTAGCTTCCCAGAGAAGATCTAGGGAGCGTCATAAGGTCAAGCCTAATTATGCTTAAGAGGATTGTGCCCTCTAAGCTGGGACTTGTTTGTGACTTTGCCAACAGGTCAGTCCGAGGCTTAATCCTAAATCGGCTCCCCACACATGTCTATCATTATCTCCACTGAGGTGTAAAATAGAAATAAATAAATATCTCAAACATAACATGTCCAAAACAGAACTCTATCCCCACAACGCATGCACCTTTTTTCTTCCCATCTTTGTTAAAGGCACCACTATTTACCCTATTTTAAAGATCTAAAACCCAGAGATCAACCTTGATTCTCTTCTTCCCATTACATTCCCATGTCCAATTCTTCAGCAAATCTTGTTCACTCTACCTCTAAAATATATCTTTTTTTCTTTTTTTTTTTAAATGCAGGTGCTGGTTCTGCAGGTCTAGGGTAGAGCCTGAGAGTCCACATTCTTTTTTTTAAATATATTTTTTATTTATTTCACAGAGCAAGGGAGAGGGAGAGATAGAAACATCAATGATGAGAGAGAATCATTGATCTGCTGCCTCCTTCACGCCCCCTACTGGGAATCGAGCCCGCAACCCAAGCATGTGCCCTTGACCGTAATCGAACCTGGGACCCTTCAGTCCGCAGGCTGACCCTCTATCCACTGAACCAAACCAGCTAGGGCTAAAATATATCTTAACTGACCACTCTTCCCAACTCCTGCTACTACACAATCCAAATCATAAGCACTTCTTGCCTGGAGTATGGCAATAGCATCCTAATTGGTTTCCCTGAAGCCTGGCTTGAGGTTTGTTCTCCATGAAGCAACTAGAGTATTTATATTTTTAAAATAAATTAGTTATTTTTTCTTTTGCTCAAATACCTCAAGAGCTTTATGTCACATTAGGAACAAAGTCCTCAAAGACTACTTTATCTGCCCTGACTTCTCCAGCAGCAACCACCCTCTCCAATGCTTACTTGATTCCAGCCACACTTCCTGCAGTTTCTCAAGTAAGTCAAGTTCATTCCAGTCTCAAAGCAGTTCTACATTCTGTTCCCTCTCCCTGGAACCCCTTGCCCTCTATTTCTCAAGGCTCACCTCTTTATATTATTCAGGCTTTTGCTCATACATCCTCTCCCTTGGAGTGGTTTTCTCTGACTGCCCTACATAAATATCCAAATAGCTTCTTCTCCTTTGCCCAGTTGCTATTTATTTTTTAGCTTAATTTGTTTCTCTCAAAGCACTTATTGCTTTCAAATCTTTTATTTGGTTTTGTCCTTCTTCCCAATAGAATGTAAGATCCTGAAAACAATGACTTCTTCTTGCTCACACTGTATCTTCACTTAAGATGTGCACCTAAGAGTATCTGACACTTTGTAGAAGTATCTGACACCTATGATGATGCCCTACTCCTATTTAGCAGTATTTTGTGCTACAATTTAACATATAGACCAGGGTTGCTAGAAATTGACAGAGCCATACTAACCAAACATGAAACCATTAAGCTTTCCAAAGAAAAAGCAGTATCATAACATTTTTTTGGTCTCAGGTAAATCTAGGACCAAACCCTAATTCTAATTTTTTAAAAATATATTTTATTGATTTTTTACAGAGAGGAAGGGAGAGGGATAGAGAGTTAGAAACATCAATGACAGGGAAACATCAATTCAGCTGCCTCTTGCACACTCCCTACTGGGGATGTGCCTGCAACGGAGGTATATACCCTTGACAGGAATTGAACCTGAGACCCTTCAGTCCACAGGCTGACGCTCTATCCACTGAGCCAAACCAGTTAGGGCCCTAATTCTAACTTTTATTAGCTGTATGATTTTATGAGGATTTAACTACTAAACATTCAATTCTACATCTGTAAGATGGGACATTATTGCTTAAGTGTTCCCCAGTGATTGGCAGATAAATACTAATGTTCAGTGAGGTAAGTACTACTCCTATCCCCATTTTAAAGATGAAGAAATTGAAGCTTAAACCATTAGACAGTAGATGGAAGAATTGGGATTTCAACTAAAAAGTGTGGTTATGAAATTATATCTCAAGAACTAGTTCAAGAAGGCAACATAAAAGCATGGTTAAGGCAGAGAAAAGTTTCTAGAAATATTTGGTCGCTACACAAATAACATACTCAGATACATCCACATTGGATTTCAGTCTCATTTATTTAAAAGATTTAAAGTTCAGAGTAGTCTTTAAAATGGAAAAATGAGAACAAACAATATTGTATCATATTAGTATACAAATGTTCCCATTTAACTTTAAATTCATTTTTAGAACTTCTGTAAATTTACTTTCAGATCAGATTTTCATGAGGAAATCAGGGGTTGTTCAATGTATTGAAAGAAAATTCCACAATGAGGGAATTTCACAGAATTGAGACATTTTTAAGAATACCAGTATAACAGAGCAGAATCCTATATTTGGGTGCACAATAAAACTTGCATATTTTAACAGGTCAGTCTTCTATCTCATCTTTGTTTAAATATAGCTAAACATACTGTACTTGCTCTCTCCTTTAAATTGAGAGGGTGTTCAATCCTGGGTTAAGCAATAGTGCCGTGAGAAACAAAACAATATAAATAAATTTTTAACATTAGAAATTGTGTGGTTACCAAAAAGTTAATATTTAACTTCCTTAACAAACAATATTACCATAGGAATGAACATGAATATTTATTATGCTTCAATATTGCATTATCATTTTCAAAGTGACCTAACATACACTACCCTATACAAATATTACAATAGCACCCACATTTTTCCAACAAGGAAACAGACTCTTTAAGATGAACTTCTTGCTTAACACATTGTGGACCAGTAGTTTTATTGCTAGCTTACCCAGTAGCCAGATAAGTTTCTATTGAACGAGTACAAAAAACATTTCACATAAACGTTAAAGGCACGCTTTAACATTAAATACCCATTGCATTTTGAAGTTATTTATTACATGTTCTCACAAGCTAATATCTTTTTATAGTATGATACTTTGTAAAACACTGTGTAATATGAAGCGAGAATTCTCGTGATCTGTCCGCAATGTGTTACGAATCACTCTGGGTGCAGTAGGCCTGGTTTTAAACCAAGGTGTCTGCACTAAAAATCCAGGGCTCTTCCTACTCTGTCACCTACTTTATAAGAGAAGTTAAGGTCATGTTTCATAGATCCTCCTGTAAACGTATAAAACGAAAATCGGTCATTTTGAAACAAATGTTTAAAAATATAATGTTAATATTTTATTTTTTATTTTCAAAAGCTCATAGAAGCATATAAAATGAAACAGTATCCACCCCATTTCCTGTGCCTGTACACTGCAGCTGGCAATTTGGTGTGCATTCTTCCATTTCTTTTTCTCTGTAGGTATAAAACTATATGATACATACCACATATACTCTATACATACACACTTGTTTTAAAAGTAAAAACTTTGATCATACAAACATAATCTGACAACTTTCTTTCTCATTACTATACCATTAAAAATACCACATTGAAATCTTGACATATGAATATTGTATATCAACTAGATTTCTTTATTGCACCAGCCTATCTAATATTCATCTCAACAACTTGACCCAAAATGCTCTTTCACTTTAAAAAAATGTATCGTTGTCAGCAAACCAGTTTAAAGCTGGGTGAAAGGGAAAGTAAACTGATAGTTGGGCAATATCACACACCAAATATAACAAAACTTGATGAATGTTACCCAAGCAAACTTAAAATAAATAACACAGGGGAATTTCAGAAATGTTCCTTCACTTGAATGCTTACTTTAGCAATGGACTCAGAATTTGCTTTCCTTACTCATATTTTTCCTAAAATTTGTAGCTTATTTAATTTCTATTACTTTTGCCTAGTTCTTTTCTCCTTTCCCTTTATTATATCTGTACTAGAGGCCCGATGCACAAAAATTCGTGCAAGAGTAGGCCTTCCTTCCCCCAGCTGCCGGCACCGGCTTCCCTCTGGCACCTGGGACCTGGGCTTCCCTCAGGCCGCCGGCAGGCATCCAGGACCCGGGCTGCTTCCCTCTGGCTGCTGGCAGGCACCAGGACCTGGGCTTCGCTTTGGCCCCGGCTTCATCTGGAAAGATGAAGGACATCCGGAATGATGTCCGGAAGGACATCCGGTCTAATTAGCATATTACCCTTTTATTATTATAGATATATTTCAGCTTGTACCTAAAATTATACCTGCTCTTTTTTAACTATAATACCTATACCCCATCTGAAAATTTAATAGTAGTTCCTGTATACCATCTAATATTCCCAAATTTTTAATTCTTATTATCTTAAAATATGGTTCATTTGCAATTATTGACATGATTAAAGTGCTTTCATTTGAAGCACCTCTAAATCAAGCACCTGGAAGTCACACACCACCTACCTTTTTCTCTTTCAAAGTTTCAAGGATACATACATGGAAGATTCATCAAATTGAGAAAATTTTAATGAACTGGAAAACTGAACAAGAAAGTAGGGTTACATTAAAAAAATGTTTGCTTTGATTAAGTCAGTTGCAAAAATAGCTAGCTAGCTAACAATACAAAGAACTACTGAAACTGAGTTGCTAAAAACAGATGTGAAAACAGTAATCTAGATTCACTACAAATAAAGAAATCATCAGAAACATGTACAAACCAAGTCTATTTAGGGTGCAACATTCCACTTTCTGAATACCACAGGGAAAAGGAAAAGAATATGTGCATATCCTAAAGGTATAATACATAACTTCCTTCTTGGAGCTCAAAGCAAGTCGTCTTGATTTACAGTTGGACACAATGGAAGAAACTGCCTGTGGGTCCCGAATACCTGCAGAAGATGAAATTCAGAGAGAAAGAAAAAACATGGTACAAATGTCAATAGCTCTTTGACACCAATCATCTGGAAATAAAATTTTGAAACTCTAATTTGGGAGAAATGACCTATATGCAAGACATGAGTAGTTTTAGGGTTCTGTTTTCTATTCCCAATCCATATAGTCTCTTATACACTCCTCCTTTACAGTTCTTATTTATAAATGCATTTTACATTTTATTATATGTGTACATTTGTGTGCTTGATGAGGATATGAATGAACCTCTGTAAGTCCCTTAATATGGGTCTCTTCCCTCGATGTTGTGATAAAGGACCAACTAGAAATTAAGCATACACGGACTGAAATAAAGAATATTATACAGACTTCCAACAGCAGACCAGAGGATCGTAAGAATCAAGTCAAAGATTTGAAATACGAAGAAGCAAAAAACACCCAACCGGAAAAGCAAAATGAAAAAAGAATCCAAAAATACGAAGATAGTGTAAGGAGCCTCTGGGACAGCTTCAAGCGTACCAACATCCGAATTATAGGGGTGCCAGAAGAAGAGAGAGAGCAAGATATTGAAAACCTATTTGAAGAAATAATGACAGAAAACTTCCCCTACCTGGTGAAAGAAATAGACTTACAAGTCCAGGAAGCACAGAGAACCCCAAACAAAAGGAATCCAAAGAGGACCACACCAAGACACATCATAATTAAAATGCCAAGAGCAAAAGACAAAGAGAGAATCCTAAAAGCAGCAAGAGAAAGAAAATCAGTTACCTACAAGGGAGTACCCATACGACTGTCAGCTGATTTCTCAACAGAAACTTTGCAGGCCAGAAGGGAGTGGCAAGAAATATTCAAAGTGATGAATACCAAGAACCTACAACCAAGAATACTTTATCCAGCAAAGCTATCATTCAGAATTGAAGGTCAGATAAAGAGCTTCACAGATAAGAAAAAGCTAAAGGAGTTCATCACCACCAAACCAGTATTATATGAAATGCTGAAAGGTATCCTTTAAGAAGAGGAAGAAGAAGAAAAAGGTAAAGATACAAATTATGAACAACAAATACACATCTATCAACAAGTGAATCTAAAAATCAAGTGAATAAATAATCTGATGAACAGTATGAACTGGTGATTATAATAGAATCAGGGACATAGAAAGGGAATGGACTGACTATTCTTGGGTGGGGGGGAAAGGGTGTGGGGGGTGCAGGAGGAGATTGGACAATAATCGTGCTCCTATGGATGAGGACAGGGAGTGGGGAGTGAGGGCGGAGGGTGGGGTGGGAACTGGGTGGAGGGGAGTTATGGTGGGAAAAAAGAGGAACCAATGTAATAATCTGAACAATAAAGATTTAATTAAAAAAAAATATGGGTCTCTTTTTGGTCTGGTTTGTAGAGAGACCAAAAAGCCCAATTTTATTATTTCCACAAATTCCTCATAAATGAGCTACTCACTCATCATTTCATGAATGTGATATTTTAATCATTTACATGGGAATGTCAAAAAGACTTCCTACCAAAACTGAGGATATTATTCATACAAAATATTTAATAACCTTGGCTTAACATAAAAGACCCTGTTTATAGAAATACAGTTAATTGCAAATTTGTAGAGAAAACAACAAAAAACAATTTGTGGATGAGATCATTTTTTAGTACAGGTTTCCAAGTATATAGAAAACATGATTTTAAATATTTGAATGTTCCCACGAACAATATTTTTCTACTTTACTTTCAAAAATGTAACTGATACTGAAAAATATATCCACTTATATTTAATAGTTCTTTTTCCTGTTTAGATACTTATTGCTGTTCCAAGGTCTGCCAAAGTTGGCACCTCAATTCTTATAAGAAGACCTTTAACCTTCCCACTCGCATGGAATACTTGGATGTACTGGATTCTTGGCCCCAGATCCTGCCACTGCCTATGTTTTTTTCCAAGAGTTTTATGGTTCCAGATCTTACATTTAAGTCTTTAATCCATTGAGTTTGTTTTATATATGGTGTAAGAAAGTGGTCCAATATAATTTTTTTGCATGTATCTGTCCATTTTCCCCAACATCTTTACTGCATTATATATCGTTGTCTCCTTTGTCGTAGATTGACCATACAAGTGAGGTTTTATTTCTGGGCTCTTTATTCTATTCCATTGATCTATTATGTTTTAACACCATACTGGTACTACTAAAGTGTTGTTTTTTTAAATTTCAACTTATAATTGTTTGTTGCTAGAACATGAGCATTTTTAAGGCTCTTGGTATACTGTCCTTTTTTAAAAAAAATCTTTTTCTTTTAATCGATTTCAGAGAGAGCAAGGGAGAGAGGTAGAAATGTCAATGATGAGAATTATTGATAGGCTGTCTCCTGCATGCCACCCACTGGGGATCACGCATGCAACCGGGGCATGTGACCTGACGGGAAATCGAATCGTGACCTCCTCGTGGTTCATGGGTTGATGATCAACCACTGAGTCATACCAGCAGGGCAATACTGTCCTTTTTTTAAAGGTCATACCAATTTACATATCCAACAACATATGAGTGCCTGTTTGACACTTTAAGCACTGACCTTATTTAAACACTAGAGGCCCAGTGCACAAATTCGTGCATGGGTGGGGGCAGGCTGGCCTGGCCCCAATCAGGGAGGATTGGGGCTGGGCCTGTCGGGAGGAGGAGATGGCGGGAGGTTGGCCAGTTGACCCGCCCAGATCCAGCCAGATCAGAGCTGGATCGGCTTGGGGAAGGGGCCACAGTCGATTGGCTGGCTGGCCCCACCCTCAAATGGGGTGGGTGGAGGGTGCCAATCAGGGGCCAGCAGCCTAGGGGAGGGGCCATGGGTGGTTGGCCGGCCAGCCCCGCCCCCTACTGAGGTGGGGTGGCGATCAGGGTGGTGCTGGCCAGGGAGAGGAGCTGCAGGCCGATCAGGTGGTGGAGGCCAATAGGGGGCATGGCCTGCCAGGGGGAGGGGCTGCAGAAGGTTGGCTGGACAGCCCCACCCCCTATTGGGGTAGGGGGTGTGATCGGGAGTGGGGCAGCCAGGGGAAGGGGCTGCAGGTGTTTGGCTGCCCAGCCCTGCCTCCTATTGGGGTGAAGGGGTGCAATCAGGGGTGGGCCGGCTGGGGGGGAGGGGCTGTGGGCCGATGGTGGTGGGG